AACAAAAACAACAACAACAACAACAAAAAAAGCAACAACAACAACAACAACAACAACAACAACAACAACAAAAACAGCAACAACAACAACAACAATAACAACAACAACAGCAACAACAACAACAACAACAGCAGCAACAACAACAACAACACCAACAACAACAACAACAAAAACAGTAACAACAACAACAACAGCAACAACAACAACAACAAGAACAACAAAAACAACACCACCAACACCAACACCAACACCAACAACAACGCTTACCGGAAAAAACACAATTATTTTAAAGCATTGTTTTGAATTGGTCCGTTAATTAAGCTTAAATAATTTCATTAGTCTCCAATTTGTATCTTAAAATGTCGATGTTTTACCATATTTTCAAAACAAGAAAAAATTGTGTCGGGGTCACTTTGCTTTTTATAAAATGGGTTTGCGAATAAAAAATGGTTTTGAATCTGTACTATAGTAATAACAGTAGTGTATCGAGTCACTGCCCAGTTGGCATAGGCACTTTATTTGTGTCTGTAGTCTCATGCTTTCATTTAACTCTAAAATAAAATCTTGCGTTGCTGGGATCCCCAGTGGGGACGACGCTTGAAAAAATGCCGCCCCTGAATATGTAGAAATAAATCCCACCCGGGGAGGACCACCAAAAAGTTGATTTTGACACCCCTTGTCTTTTTAAAGTACATGGAGTTTAGTGTTGAATTCACTTTCTATGTTCTTATCGAAAGATTATTTTTGCACACCCCCACCTATTTCCCGTCGTTGGCGCCCCGTGTGCGCGCCCCCTTCAAGCCGCTGCAATTTTAAAAAAATATTTTTAAAGGACCTTTGGTGTTATTGAAAATAATTGTTGCCGATTTCACAGAGGAGAGGTTACCTGGTACAGCGCTATAAGTTACAGGCTAGCAGCAGAACTCACCTTGTTACAATGTAACTCTGTAACGGTTCTATTCATCCATGGCCGTCAAGTATAAAATGACGTGGTTCGCAAGTCATACAAAAATAATATTAAAAAAAAACAAACCCTGACGACAGAGCCTTAACTAACGAGAAATCGATATATCACCACCCGCCACACCCCCCACCCCACTTTTTTTCCTTTAAATGAATCATACTCTTCTACAAAAACGAATCGTTCTCTTTGCCGAATGATGCCGCCCACGTGCCGAATGATGCCACCCACGTTCATTTATCGGGGAAACAGTTGACCACGACCTTGTTGTACAATGATCCTTGCATGTTACACAACTCTCATATCCAATATGGGGGGACTGCTAGTCTTTCTCAATGTATTCAATGACCATAATAAAGTATTGATTTGTTTTTTTAATACCCTTCTTCCTGTCACCATTGTATGGGTTATTATGCACACTTTTATGTTCTGTTTGCTCGTTTAATGTGGGTTTTTTTTTTTTTAAAGTCGAACATACTTCAATATCTAGGCGCACACAATCAATCCTTGCTCTTGATAATTGATGTTTTAAAGCAAGGGGCCGATAATAATAAACATTTATTTCTGTATTCTTGAGTCTGTTCTTATTCGAATGATGTGCGCAAAATAAATGTCTGCCATTGTGTCGGTTAAGGCAAGACTTCTGGACGATTGGCTCTAAATTCTCACTTTCACTTTCATCATCATCGTCACGTTATTCAGCCCCACATTTTACACAAAAAAAAGGTTCAACAGGGTGGGGCATTTGCCCCCCCCCCCCCCCCCCCCCCNCCCCCCCCCCCCGCAGAATTTGCTGGTTTTTATTTAAACGGCTATGTACTGTGCCACATCTAGTAATAAACATTTTAACAAGTTTTGTTTTAACCCCCCCCCCAACCCCAATTGAAAAAACCCGAAATGACGCCACTAGGTTCAATTATGTACTTCCTTACTTATTAAATTAAAAGTAAATGTTATGACACACGGGACAGCAAACAGCAACACGTGTTATAAGTACTTATATTTTAATGTCTTTGTCTTATCACACAGCATCTCTGCTTCAATTTCCAGGCATGTCACTGACACAATTCAACAACAGGTGGAGAACAGGGGAACGAGACAGGGGAACGAGACAGGGGAACGAGACAGGGGAACGAGACAATGGAACGAGACAGGGGAACGAGACAGGGGAACGAGACAGGGGAACGAGACAATGGAACGAGACAGGGGAACGAGACAATGGAACGAGACAGGGGAACGAGACAGGGGAACGAGACAATGGAACGAGACAAGGGAACGAGACAATGGAACGAGACTAGGGAACGAGACAATGGAACGAGACAATGGAACGAGACAGGGGAACGAGACAATGGAACGAGACA